ACCACCACCACCACCACCACCACCACCACCACCACCACCACCACCACCACCACCACCACCACCACCACCACCACCACTCTTGTCATCTCTCATTTATTCGCCAGTTTTCTCCTCCATTCCATGTCGTCACTTGATTTCTAATTCGTAGTAGTATTAAGAAAAGGCGATAATTACTCGGCCCTTGAAGAAATATGATCATGTTGATGGGGCGGGTGGGAATGAGGCAGTATCTCCTTACCTTTCTCTTCCCTTCCTCAAGATGAGGATTTCCTTGCGCATCTTCGTATTGATATTAAGTGTATTAACTTTCATTGAGTGGATGGAGAGATAGATGGATCCCTGGTGCAACGATTTGGCCTTCAGCAGGTGAACAAGACATGAGTAACCCATTACGGCACCTTTAATGCAGAAGTAGCTTATGCGACTGACTTGGTGTGCCGCCTTAAAATCGTGAGTTGCTTACTTGTGTGGTGAGGTGGTGGGTTGACGAATGTTTGAATGAATTTCATAAGTCATTTCTCATCTCAAATAAAGTAAAAGCAGAGGGTCTTTATAGGTGACCAACGGTATTTAGATGGTGTTTGAATCCCACCATCCATCACCCGCTAATGAGTGGCATTTGACACACATGCGTATGGGCGATTAGGCAGGTGTGACAAGTCCTCTGAAATTTGCTAGATTTCATGATGGCAAGCTGAACCTAAAAAGTGCAACAACTTTTTAGTCATCTGATGCTGTCATTTGAAGTAAACGCACGTGAAGTGTCACTGAAAGCGAGAAGTTAGTCTTATAGGTGAGCTAGCTACTCACATGCAAGGTAGGTGACAAATCCAAGCAGATATTTTGAAGTAGTGCAGCTGTGACACGTAAATTCAAAATAGCAGTGGGGGAAAGATTGAGCACAAAATGGCAAATTTCGTATGCATCTGACCTTGAATGTGTCCGCGTGTTGTCTCCAACCCATTTTGCCAAATTTTTCGCCGCTTAAATGCAAACTTTTTTCTTTACTCCACAGAGATACATACACGAGAGGAGAATTTGACAAGGTGTAAGGCATTTTCCACATGTGCGTGTTAATGGGGCGGCGTGTGCGAGCCGTCGGATGATGAAATGTCGCCTCCATGGCATGAATAAACTATCTGTTGTGTTTGAAGCTAAGCTGGGAGGGGTTTATTCAAGCATCTCTGTGTGTGTGTGTGTGTACCTGTGTTGTTACTTTGTTTGTACAACTGCTGTCAGGTTTTTTTACGCGGATCATTCTAGTCTCTGGAGTCGTTTCAATTTCATTGTTTGTTTTTGGGAATCTAAATTTCTCTTTTTTTCGTACCTCTTATCGTCAGCATCCTTAGAACATTTCCACTCTTTTCTCTTTATTTCTCATAATTGTCCAGTATTTCGTGGGGGATGTTAGTTATATCTACTGATATTCCCCTTTTCCCCAAGGTAATTTGAGGAGATAAGTATACGAAAATTGAGAATTCCAAGACGACTATGACCTCTACACCCTGTACTGTGACAGCAAGTCCTCTGCTCTGAAGCCGTTGTCTTCTTGGGTCGCAATCAGTCAACTCCAGACACCGTGTCTCCGTGGTCGTACTCACATATACGCAGTTTACAACATCGGCCCACACGAAGGTGGTGTGAGGCTGAGCTATTGAGCATCCAAATTATCCTCGAAGTTGCTATATTGACATCTTAGAGAAGGTAAACAGAGTAGGTGGCATAAATAGAGCCTCGTGGTACTTTTGTGGGGACTGAATCATGGAAAACTGGAAAAGTCTGCGTAATTTCTTTTGTTATACTTTCCTTTGAATGTGGTGCTCATGATTGCCCTTCTGCTTTGGATATAAAAACGGTAGTGGAATGTACTAAAGGTGCACACGAGTGGTGGGATCATGTGGTGGACTTTTGAATTCACCTTTACTGCTTGTATCAGAACGACTTTTTATGGACGCGTCTCCTCCACGCATTGGTTATGAATTAACAAGGAGGATTCACGAAACCGTTGTCTTCATTCGCTCGTTTGTTCTATTATTCATCGCCCTTTTCGCTCTCTATATACTGTCCAATCGTCCACCTCAATTACTTTTTCGGCACTGAAACATTGAATGTTGATTGTAAACTCGCCATTTTTACTGTTGTCACGGTTATATTATGGGTGGCTTTGATATCCCTTCGATTAGGAGTCCCCTCAAATTTTACATGTACTCAGTTGATATCCTTCTATTAATGAAACTTTTCCAGAGATCGCAGTCCTTGAGACCAGGATCACCGTCACTTTCAATATGGTCACCACCGATGCAGCTGCGGCGGAGTTACTGGTGGGGGCTGGATTGGGAGATTTGTTGTATGGGTGAACGGTATCAGCGTGGGGAGCCAAACCACGGCTGGAATGCTTAATTGCAGAATCAAGAAAGTTGGTAGCCTTCCAATTTTATCAGCCGTAAATGATTTCACACTCGTACGCCTGACAAGGTCTTTAAGAGTTACTCAGACACAACAAATTTATTTGGTAAGGTGCATGCAAATCAGTTTCACGAGGTACTCACTTGCGAGCTTTCTTTACTCACTTTCTTGTAGAGTAGTGAAATGTTTGCTAATGTCTTTGTCTGAAGTTAGAACACTTGACTTTCACTTTTTTGTTTCTTTAGATGCCATCGGAAAAAGCATTCGAAAAAAATTATAAAGTTACAAGAAATGGCGTCCCAGGAAATGAAACAAGCACTTTTGAATTCACGAAGTCTGCTAGAAAAGATGCAATTTTCTTGGTTTTTTCTTCCACTGCTTGAAAGTTTTACCTCTAATTCTGATCACTGTTAGATTTAAGAAATATAGGCTTTTTTCCCAAAATTGAAGTTTTAATCCGTGTTTACTATCTCGCGATTCTTTTTCTTGTCTTCATGTCATCGATGGCTCGACCATGTGTCCATTTAGGTGTACCGAATCTCTCTTTATTATTAATCCAGCTATGCGACTGAGAGACGATACTTGACTCGCCCACTGGCAACTCCTACCTTACCGGTCCCTGATTAGTTCGATTTTTTTATACCTTCGCTTTTCCCCCATTCCCATTGGTTAGCTCAAGGCCAATTAAAAATAACGTAATTGTCTGATCTTTTTTATTCTTCTTTGCAGAACGTTTCGATCACCACTGCCCATGGGTAGGGAACTGTGTCGGGGCACGCAATTACCGCTACTTCGTCATCTTCCTTCTGAGTGTTTCTCTGCTTTGTTTTTACGTCCTTTGTTTTTCCGTTGTCAATGTTGTCATTAGTGAGTTAACTCACCTTTAAGACATGCTATCGCTTAGTAAAGAGTAGGGATTTGCTTATCTTCCATCTATTCAGATTTGGGAAGTTATTCATTAACACTAAACGTCTATCATGTTTATTTTTCAACTAAAATAATATGTTGTATTTCCCTAAGGAACATGAATGTGAGTAGCCTCCCTTTTGGACGTAAAAGTAATTGACCACGGGGTGTGGTTTGATGCTAGACTTTTAATGCTTTTCTATCAAATAAATAGGAATCGCAATTTATATCGTGTGTTGACCATAGTTTCTGCTTATGTTTTAGGATTGTTGCACAAACATTCTACTTATCAATTGAAGTAGCGCTTATCGTCCGTGTTTTCTCCTTCCTTTCAGTCTACCAAAACACTACAAATATCCCCGATACGGTGAAGCAAACACCCGTATCATATCCTTTCACTTACCCACTGGTCTGTCACTGAGACGGACAATCACGTTGTCCTTTTTTACCTACTTTTTTATAATGAGGTAGTGCATTGTCTCCCCACACTTGAAATTCCTTAACTTGGGCGCGTCTATTTGTGCACATTTGTAGTGATTCTCTTCACCGTCTTCCTTTACCTCTCGATATCCGGTCTCACATTCTATCATATCTACCTTAGCTGCCGTCAAATTTCTACCCATGAAGATGTGAGTTTGAGCTAGAACTACTATTTAGAAAGTGTCGGTAATCGAAGTGCCAAGTGGCAACTTGGTAGTGTTTCTAAGGCATTAATTCGAAAGACTAGAAGCCGTGGAACTGGACTAAGTTGAAATTTTTTGATTAAGGCTTATAGTTTTTCCGTTTTTAGATTCGACACTTTCCTAAGACACTGCGTCAAACGGGTCGAAAGAACCCCTTCTCCAAGGGCAACGGCCTTGTCAATATGCTCAGTGTGTTGTGTGGTCCTGCTCCACCGAGGTTTGTTCTGCCGTTGGTCGATGTTCCTTCCTCCCTCATGATTAATATTTTTCGGCAATAAGCCTTGACACCTGATGGAAGACTTGAGTCACTCCTAGGAATTGCTTGAGGAATGAAATGAATAAGAAGGCAGAAGGATCCGCATATCTAAATTGAATGGGTTTGAGGAGCCAATTGGTGGTGCATTGAATGACTACGCATTCGAATATCGCAGTCGTGAAAGGGCAGGCAGTTGGAGTGGCTAACTTGCTTGTACTGTTGGGTGTCTCGAAATCACTTTGTGAACTGCGCATCTGTTGCAACTGTCAAGCAATTTGTGTCAAAATTAAAATGCACGAACCGTGTTCTCTTAAATTTGCCGTACATTCGTCAATAGCGATCGAGTGTCCTGCCTGTTGTGAAAACACCCCTCACCATAGGGCACACTAAATGTGCTTTAAAAAATCATTTTTTTTTAATTTATAGGGATGAATGCTGTTACATCGTTTTCACGCGTCAAACATTATATAACCTTTGCTTTTTCACCCTAATGCAGTGCTCTGAAGGCGTGGAAGTTAGTCGATCCAGATGACGTTCGGCCTCCGGATTATTCCATGCTGTCATCGTCGTCGCAGCATCCACGCTCCGATGAAGATTTCGTAGTGCCCCACAAGCAGTCAGTCGCCATTCGACCCCTGCGTTTTGACTCCAATAGCCAGCATGGAGAGGTCTGTCCAGCGACGTGAAGTCCTCTTTTGATTCTTTATTACTTAAAAAGTTATGCCTGTGTCACTAGTGAATACAGTAATGTGGGCTTGCCTTAAGAAGTATTTTGATAAGAATTTTCCATTTCTCTTGCGACTGGGATTGTGACCGTGGCTTATCTTCTACAAGGAGGCAATTCATGAGATACCTCAGGATGATGGATAACATTGTTTTTGGTGTGGCACAAAGAGATAGTGCTTTGTCCTCAATTCCTCGTTGTTCTCTTCAGTGGTTGAAGAGAGTCGTCACAGTTTGATGTCACTAGATAGGGAGGAGGTGTTGCAGTCCCCCTTTATTCAAGAAAGTTGCTTCGTTGCGTAGACCTTGAGTGGAATTCACTTTTGTAGGATGATTGGAGAAACAGGATTGGTGGTTACCCTCGACAAACTCCAAGCACTACTACCGCTATTATTAACCTCAATTCTGTGACCTCCCAAAACAACGGTAGGTTAACGCTTGTTTGCTATTTTGTAATAACTGATACGGGGTTTTTAAAAAGACTTAAGCCTTCACTGAATTTGAATAAAAGGGGGTAGTCGGATGCATCGAAAATACCTTTCTTTCACGGATCCACCTAGTCATTCCCGACCCATCCATCCAATTTTTGTGCTTGTCCATCCGTCCACCCTCGTATGAGGTAATTTGATGGGCAAACTTTTTCCTCCTCCTTCGTTTTAGTCATACCAGAACCACAATCGCAGTCGTCATCGTCATCGACGAAGCCGCCTAAAAAGCTGAGGAAAGTCGTGTTGGCAGATGAGTTGGACGAACACGGTGATCGAATACCGAACACGGGATTCGCTGGACGCTCCATCGTCTCGGCGATAACGATGCTACCCCACCGTGTCCCGTCCTCATTCGCAGGCTCAATTGACCAGCCTGACAATTGAAGGTAACGGTGAATGAGGCAACTGCTAAGTGCTGCTCCTGGGTTCCCTCTACTCCCCATACCATCTCGCCCTACCCATGTGTAATATTTGCATATCTTATTTTTTTGTGCTCTAATTGCTCCTCTCTTCATTTTCATTGGGTAGATGGATCTCTGAATAGGCAAATTTAAGGGGCGAAATCGCCGAATAAATACGGTAGGAAAGATAAACGAAATATTAGTCAATGGCATCCGTCCTCGTTTTCCCCAAGTAAGTGGATGATTAGGCAAATTTTATTTAAATAAGATTGCGCTTGATCTAGAATAGGATCACGTCCAGATGGATGAAGTGGTAGATGGCTGTGTTTAGATTGGCTAGAAGGCCAGACCTGGGTAGAATGGTTAAAGAGTGGATCAGATCCAAACGAATAGGCGGGTGATCACCGGTAAATGAATCTGATTACATTGATATGTGCTCCAGGGAAAGCGAGTAGGTGGATGAGTTTATGACTGACAAGGAAGGAGTTCCCCAAACAAAATTACTAAGTGATCCCTGTTTAAAAAAAAATCTCAGTTACTGGGATGTAATGGGGTCGTTAAATTTTCATTGACTATGTCTATGGAGCGTCATTCGATCTCTTTGTCGAATGATTAGGAGCGGTTGCATCTGATTGTCTGACGTTACCCCTCAGAATACGAATTTTGATTCAAAGCGCTTTTAAATAATTCATTTCATGAAGCACTTCACTGTTATGATCCGGAAGAATCCAATCAACCATGTCCCATCTCCTTCTTCCTTGGGCTAGTTACTTCTCCATTACCAGCTCGTTTATGTTTTCAATCTTGAATATTTTGATCAAGTTGCGAATTGGGACTGTGTTGTTTTGTGGATGGTGCCAAGGGAAAGTAATGTAAAGCTGGAATTTATTAATGCGTGACTGCAGGGACAATGGGGATTGGCGATTTCACAGGAAGAAGCCGGAATGGCTGTCACGTGCCTGACAGGAGGTGATTCAAATACGCTTTGCTGAATCACCTTCCACAATGTCAGTAGATTAGGGCAGCAAGAGGCCTCAGGTTCGAGATCGCCTTGATTTCTCATCCGCCTTAAGAATTTATTAGCAGCGCAGTAGTAGTAATAGTCGGGTCATTGCAACCGTCCACCTTCGAGGTAGAAAAGAGGATCTTCCATTTTAGAAAGCGTTTACTCTCTATGGTCAAGATCGCTGGAATATATCGGCAAGTGATTACTGGTCACGCTGGCCATGATCTCCCATACTTTCCACTTTCGTTGTCATTTCCATCTAGTAATGCATGGAGACACCGAACTAGTAAATTAGGCTTCTTGGCCAATGGCCTGACACCAGTACACTTGAAATTTATCGGTGATTCGAGGAAGGAGCAAGAGATGCGAGTTATTTAGGGATAGTAATAAGCTGCTATTCAGCCCTTGGCATATATTGGACATCGACTTCAGCATCAACATCTAATACTGCTAAAGCAGCAACGACAGCACTAGGATAACTCTGGACACTTTTTCTAAAAATGGGAAGATGTTACTTCCTCATTATCTTGGACTAGAAGTCAAACTGTAAAGAAGGCATGGAACATTCTCCTCCCAGAAACAGAGGCAAAAGCAGAATAGTAAGTTTTGACAGACTAATCAAAACCAGAACGCATTCACCTGCACTCACATCGCCTTCACTTTTACGTTGACTGAGGGACAAACGAAAAGATCAAGATCGGGGTCGCTCGCGACATTCCTGAGTTCTTATGACTCGGTGTGTTTGCGAGGCATTGTAGATGAGAAATTTTTAATCGTTTTTAGCTTCAGCTATCACTAATGCTGCGTTTGCTAGCATTCTAAGTGGAGAATGATGTAGAGGGGGTGTAGTGGAGGTTAAGGGGTCCATATATCAGAAGAGTAATAATGATAGGAGGGGGAAAAGTAAAGGCAGAAGTAGTAGCGACAAGGTGCATCTTTCCATTAGTTAAACCTATTTTTTTAGCAGTTGTGGAGGATCTAGGAGAGGATTTTGTCGGTGAATTCTTCAAGTAGAGAATCAGCAGAAAGACGTCACTCAATCTGATTAAAAATTTGACATTTTGCAGGCACATCGTAACCCGTGCCATGGGCTAACCACTGGAATACAAACTGCAGCTCAGTAGAGGTAATGCTCTCTAACCTCTGTCTATATAACAGAGGACTTGGGTACCCACATTCAAGCTGTCTTCTGCACAATGTTCCATGGAACCGAAATGCACCATTTTTCGAATGTTTACAGTTGGCTTGTTCCGATGCTGCCGCTCCTGAGTAAGAGCTGCGAAGAAGGAACGCTACTGCTGACTGTGGAGATTCGTAGGAGAAAGGGAATAGGGAAGTTGCTTTAGCACTGGTCAGGAGTGGAAGATGCTCAACAGATCTACTTAATCAAATACCAAATCTGCCCAGGATTGTTTTAATTCCAAAAAGTATCTACAGGCGGAGAAGACAAGTTGAGGGCGAAAGTGGCTCAATTTTAGTAACTATTTACCCAACCTGGAATTTTTCTCCATGACTGTTACGACGAGTGGAGCTTTATTCGAATGGGCTTCGCTGTCGGTAGTTGTTGCACGTTAGAACAGCGACCGAAGCACCATCACTTCTGATGGAGGTGCTGCAAGGGGCAGCCTCTTCCCTCCTCACTGCTACCAGTTAGAGCTAGAAGTCAATTCACACTGTAGACAGCCGGATGAAAAGATTGTGACCTGATGAATGGCCACATGGCTGGTTATCTGCAGAGGCAGTGAATAAACTCACAGAACAAGAAAGTTGCTTCTAGTAATCGAGTTAGGCGTCAAGAAAGTGGTCTAAGAGGAGTTAAGCTGAGCCTAGCTGATCTGAAGTGAGATGAGGTTATCTGAAGTCGAGGCGGTGGACACCGATGATTTGAAATGACCACTTTTCGAATCATTTTAATGCAGCCCTAGGCAAAATGAGCCCTTTACGTAGCGCAGATTAGCGGTATTATGTGCTGCCTAAATTGCATTCAACTTCAGTAAACGTGTTTAATACCGCCAATTCACTTCAACAACTGCCTTCATAGAGGGTAGACTTAGCAGGAACGGCATTTTCATCGTCTTATCTGTTTTTAGTTCTCTTTAATTTTCTGCATTCACATGGATCCAAACAATTGTCCTCCCTTTTTTTCATTTTATCCCTCCTACTTTACCCCAATTGTGAGCCCCAAGTATCAGTCACAAAGTCAAATGTCTGCTGGCATATCTCAAAGTCAGAATTATGTTTCAGCTACTGTAGGAAGTGGTAGCAACGTTGGAGAACCTCATCCAGTTGGTGGTGGTGCTGCATCCGATTTGGCCTCCATCCCGTCATTGAACTTTCAAGACCCTCAAGGACTTTTCGAACCTGGAGAATTTCCAGCTTTGCAGTTTCCTCCAAGTTTTAACTAACACCTTTGCCGTCAATGCAGCTGGTGGTGGTGATCCGAATGCTAGCAATTTGGTTCCTTCCTCTGCAACTCCCACTACACTACCTTTTGCCACCAATCCTCTGTCGGGACAAGCACTTAATTTTACATCAGGCGGAGAACTGCCGAGCAGCGAGGCGACTCAGTTCAGCGATTTGTCTGCCGGTGGACCCAATCTCAGTGGCTCCTCGCAACAGCTGGGTGACGACTATGCTACCAACCTTCTCTGCAGCATAATGCGCAGCCAGTTTGGAATGCTCGGCCTGCTTAGGCTAACTCAACTTGATCCCTCCTAGAGTGTATTCTTTTTAGGATTTGATTTATTCCTTATTTGGACAATCTACACTTTCCTCCACCTGGGTAACCAGTCCATGATTTTATTTTCTTATGCACAAATGATCTATCATATTTCTGATTTTAAATCTGTCCATGAATACCTCTGTCCATCGTTGTGAGGAAATTGTTTTCAGATCCAAAACAGGTTATTAGAATGTGGTCATTGATTAAGTTGAGTGTGATAGAGCTTGACCACCTAGTTTTCCGTAAAAAGAACAATCAGAGCACAGGTGTTTGGGGTGGCAGTGCCTGTTGCACATTCAACTGCCTGCTTTGTATCCGGCATTTCAACGTGAGACCGTGTTTGATCGTTTTTTTCTCATCTGGAGAACAAAATTGGCATGGATCCAAATTTGCTTATAAAAGCCTAATTCTTGGTTGTGACTGAATTTTACGAAGCTGTTTGTTGCGGCTATTCTGATGATGGAACCACATTTAGTCATTCCTAGGACATCAATGCGAGACGGTCCTCACTTTGCATCGCCTGCGATTTCCCGACCACTTAAGATCTAGCTAAGAGGCCGGTTCGCCTTTGAGTGGAGGAAGTCCGTTGGATAGTTTCTGTCCATTCAAATAGCTCTTATCTTCTTTAAAGACAAAAATATTATTGTCAAAGTACATTAGAAAAACACATCTTTTAAGAAAGGCGAGGAATTTTGCTATACGTTTAGATCAGGTAGTAAGCTGCGTTCTCAACTAGACTACCTGATAATCTGACTGACATCCATAGAACTAAAAAATTACTATCTTATGAAAATGTCACTTCCTTTATAGGAGATCTGTCAAACTAAATGACTAGCATTTTTAATTTCACTGTCAGTCGCATGTCATCACTTCAAGCAACGTCTACCGCACTACAAGGAGACATCAGAGCTACGACTATATGGCTTGTTGTTTGGGTGTAAGAAGCAATAGATGGGTTTCTAAGAGGCTACAGATTCTACCTATCTACAAGTTATTCGGTTATAGTAGCTCTGCCTTTAAGATGATTCGTAGTGACATAAACAATTCATGAGTGCCCCTTCCTCCGTCACAGACAACCACACCGTTTTTTCGCCTCTCCTCTGTCCAACCAGCTCATTTTGCCACCTCATGATGTGACTGTAATTCGCCTTCAGAACACCTAATAAGCAATCAAGTTGCTGATTGCCTTCCTCCTGACCTTCCACTGGATCAACTCTCCATCGCAGCTCTCTTTTGGATATTCTACAACTGCTCTGGCGAGGAAATTCAACTAGTCGCCGCCTAGGAGCTGTGGATCCTGACCTCGCAATTTTGTTTAGTTTTTATACATTATCGGCCTGTTACACCCCATACTGCTCTTAGTGACTCCAAAAGTTGGAGCCTGGTAAAGGTGAAATAAGACTGAGAAAAGCTATCATAATTGATTTCTGACTGCAGATACAGTCGAGGGTGGCGGTATCACAGGACCGCAATGCAGTTGATTTTTCGTGTCTCTGACTGCGATGCGATTTTTAAAAACAATTTTAAGCATGGTTGTTATTTTTACTGGGATCCACAGGCTTCAAAAATTAGCATTAAACAAATGACTGTCGACTACAACGAAATAGATTTCACACCCTCCACTTACCAATTGTCCTCTCCCACTCTCAACGCCAGAGTGCAGTCCATACCCTCGTATTCTCACCAACACTAATGAGAGCAGCAGTAAGAGTCCACCGCGCCTCTGGTCGTCACTTCTTTACCTCCATCCCCATTGTCGTCGGCGTCGCTATCGTGTCCTCCTCCGACGGCACAGTCATAGCATATACCATGACAACGACTACAATGGCCGTACCGTAGTCCTTATCTTAGCCTACTACGACTCTCATCCCACTTGCCTCATTCCCTAATGCATTTACCCTTCCCCTATTTGGCCTTCTTACCATCTTATCAGGCATTCATTGATAACTACTTGGATGTGATAATTTCCCCCACCCCCTTCCAAGGATGTGGGTACGTGTATTTGTGACTTCGGTAATATTTGAGGCGGTTCGGCCCTGTAATACACCCATTCACCTTTTTTGGCATATTAACTATTCCTGTTTTTTCCTATTTATAATACGCCTCTTTCTCTCCCTTTGCATTCTCCACTCAGCACACTAACTACGACAGTAGCAGCATCTTACAGTTCATCTCACATAGCACAGCATGTGAGGAATGATAGAACTAACGTGGAACTTGGAGCCTTTAAATTGCTTATATGCCTAGATCTGGTCCTTCTCTCCGTATTTGTAAATGCATGAGAGAAGAAGATCGCCCCCTTATTAGCACATTTTCTAAAAATGCAGTTCCCTACTGGGTAAACGGGTATTCGTTCCATTTGTGGGAAGAGTGGGGGAGGGAGACGAGGTGTCCCATGTCTTCTTGTCACAGTTGGGGCTTAGCATGTTATTTTGTCGGTGTGAGTGCTTTGTCTGGGTACCTTTCCATGGTCTATTTCCATTGTGGTACATTCTGATGTCTAACAGAATTTGGCTACATGGCTGTCTTATCGTAAATTTCTGCCTCCACCTCTTTTTGGTAAGAGTATAAATAAAAAAGTTACTTAAGTAGATAGGTATGCAGAGCCAATATGTGGCTTTGTAATAAGAAGGAAGCCTGTTGCACCGTTAGTGCGCAGCCAATTTGTGGGAAAAGAATAGTAATGGACTGTGCACTAAATGTGACACACTTCTGATTTAGGTAAGTAAACTATGTGTCTTCTTCCACACCATTATGGCATGTTGCGATGAGAGGGACACTGCACACTGCAAGCTCAGAAGCGTCGGTCTGACTTGACTGCTGCTTGAACGTGGGCTGCATCGTACGTGATGTCTAAAGTTAATTTCCAGCCCTATCCCTGCTACTTTTGCTGCCTCAAGGGTTCCATGCAAGACCGCATCCTCGAAGACAAATCCGTTTAAGTTGTTAACTCTTTCCAAAGTAGGCAGCCATGGTTGGCTTTCTCTGATGTCTCCCTGAGGAATGAATGGATGAACGTGACACTTTTACATTGATCACTGGTTGATAAACCGACTGTCTGATGAGAAATGGCTTTCGCTGCTAGGCAAGCGAAATAACTATTTTTAGCCTCGTGTGATCCACTTACTACCTCACTGCCCATTCAACACTTCTAAATCCCCAACCATTTCATCCGCACCCCATTATTCTTCTTTCCCAGGTGTATGAGCATGTATGTGTATGTGATCGACAGGAAAAGCAAATTCTTAGCCTGCCGAATCCAAAAGGTGACATCTGGAGACGACTTATCTACCTACCTCGCTTTCTTTCCGTTAATCAACTCAGCACCACCCACTCCAAATCGCGCACGTGGAAGATGGTAAGGAATAACTTCTTTTTGAAGAATAGTCAGAACTAGTGACTAAGTCAAGTGAATGGGGACTCTTGATTCGGTGAGTATGATTTTTCATTCTTAATCGCCCTCTAGCCGGTCAAATTTATTCGCTGCAACGCAATGCAACACTTCACAGCACAAGCAGTCTCTAAACCGACCTGTGGAGAGGGTAAAGGGGGGAGGGGAAGGAAGAATGGAGAAAGAATCAACCTCATCTTCATTCCCATTTTCATACCTAATTTTTCCCTAATGTTACTCCTTTGAGGTGGGAAAGATTACCATCTTCTTTCGATGCTAGAATTAGAGAGGGAGTTTGAAAATAAAGGTAATCAAGAATCAAATGCAGTTTGAGGCCAATTTGCATTCATAGCCTCTAGAAGCTAATGGTAAACTTGCTTCCCCTCATGCTCTAATTTATTGAAAATGAATTTTTTACCAGAAAAAAGACACGTAAAGAGACCTACAAAATTAATGACAATTTAAGGTAGGCTGCCTGAACGTGATTTCTCCGCTTGAAAGTAAGTATATGGGACATTTCCATCCCGTGGGGGAAGTAAATAAGTATAGGAAGTCTAATTAAGGAGGCTAGGAAAGAATTTGTCACTCACTTTCAAATAACAAATGTAAATACCACCTACAAAGGGCTGACTTATAAATAAACTTTTAATGAAATGACGGGTAGACTGGAGGATACGAAGGCTTATGGAGCTGTTTTATCTCTTCTCTCTACTGTCGCCAGCTCAAATTGATAACAAAAGAAAAAGAAGAGTGAAGGAAGAGGAAGATTCATGCGTGTTCTTCGTGGAGGATAAAGCCGAATTGCCTCGAATACCAAAGGAATTACACAGAAACGGGCGGCTTCATTTATATCTGTGCAGTAGATGACAGGGAGATCAAATGAGGAACAGGAATTATTAACTCACTGAAATTGAGATGATGGAATGTCGCAGAAGACAGGGTCCGTGTCCTCAGTGCGGTGGAGGGGAAGGAGGACAGCAGGTGGGCGTCAGCTACCCTAACACGATAAGGAAGGGAAAATGCGGCATCAGGCATGGCCAGATGAAGGAATGTAGCTGAGGTTGCTGGATCGTTTTCCCCCGCTCTTGGTCTGCTAATGGGTGTCTGCCAATGGACATTCTTACTTAGAGACACAGGACGTGTTTGGAAGCGCCTATTCTCGCAACTACAACTACACGAAGTAGGTGTGTGAACGGCCGAGCGGAAGGAGAGCTCAAGCGTGATTATGGTCAGTTGAGGCATTCCTGCACTTGACATGATCGGATGTCTTTGTGAAATGCAGAGGTGGGAGAGGAATGCTTAATACATTTCAGCTGTTCTAATGCTGCTGCTTTCAATACCAGTCCCTTAAGTGGAAAAAGATGAAGATAATCAGCAGTGGAGAGAAGGAGTTTAACATGAGAGAGGAAAGGAGAGAATAGTAGGTGAAACAGAGAAATTCACGCAAAGGAGGAGGAGTGGTAGAAAAATGAACTTAGGGGCCTGGAAGGGGAGGAATCCAGTAGGTCTAGAAAAAGACGACTACAATCTCATCCATGCGAGCTAATTACATCGATTTCACCTCCTTTCCCTTCCTTTACGGTAATCAAAATGATGACTGTGAGAATGACGATAATAACATCTTTCTTTCTTTTGTACCATTCGCATACTAATCTCCTTCGTCTCGTATACATTGCGTGCGACTACACTTTATCCTTCACCACATTCCTTGCTATCACCCTTTGTGCAGCTGCCTGAAATCCTCCCACTCTTTCCCCTATGCTCATTGATGCAAGGGTGTGATCCAACCTGGCTCTCCATGCGCCGTTCACTTATGTCTATTTTGGTGGACAAAGTTGATGTCTAATACTTCACCTCTCTCCCCAGTGCTGTGCACATGCCTTGCAGCAGAGGCAGCATCGACAGCTGCGCAAACTTGATTTGTCGTTCCCTTTGTGATGGAACCATTGCATATGCGTTCAAATCCAGTGATGGAAAAGTGAAATATTGTAATGGTGGTTTTAAATACACCACGGTAACTGGAGTTCTTGACTCTGCGGATGCAGCGCAGCATAAGCTGAAAGAGGTGGCAACGGTCTGTGAAGTGACCAAGACTTCAGTAATGCTACAGTATAAATGCCTATGCAGGACTGAGAAGATAGCGCTTCTGCCATGGTTTCCTTTTCACTAAAATCGCATTCAAGCAATGTTTTGGAAATGTCTTGTCAATTGAATGTGTTTCACTTTTTAACTAACTGGCATCTAAGAAG